AAGTCTCTGGGTTATTTCGCTTTTACTAATTCAGGGAAAGAAATTTTTATTTCGGCTACGGTCTTATATATATATATATATATATATATATATATATATATATATATATATATATATGAATATATCTAGCTCGCACAGTCACGCGAAGAGAGAGAGAGAGAGAGAGAGAGAGAGAGAGAGAGAGAGATGACGAGGGAGCGAGCTTAATTAATTTTGCAAGCTTCGCGAACGTCACTCAAAAGCAAGCTCGTGAACGTCACAATATTATCATTTTAAAGCAGAGCTAATATGCTGAAAGCTCTCGCTCGCTCTCCTACAAATATTACGAAGTGATCCGATGCCGAATTTCCGAGCCATTTACACGACGCCCGCGCTCGAACAAGCGACAGGGGAACAAAGAGCGTCTAAATGGTGTACCCAATGGAATGACATTTTTATGCGCGAATTTTCCAGACTCGCTTGTTCCCTGATTACTCGATTATCCGAAATCATTCTGTCCCTCCGGCAGTCGTTGCCTGTGTTTGCTCGTTTTTCAGTGTACACGCGCGCCGCGTACGGTCCGAGCATAATAATAAGCCTGCGACTGCTTTTTGCTTTTTGGCGCGCCTGCCGTTTCAAAACACGCATCGCTCTCGGACATTGATATCTTCATCGGTCGTTTTCCTTGAACACTTAATTAACCTACGAGCAAAAGCAATTTCGCCGGCACTCGGCAACACTGAGAATCATCATCCACTCCGCGGGTACATAAACACGTTTGCCCAGCCTCTTGAGCAGCGCAAATCTCCGGAGAGACTCTGTATCCAAAGCTTCGCAAGCGCACGCACAGCTACTCGAGCGGATTCCTCTTTGCCAGAGCCACTCGCGGAGTAAGCCATTCCGCCAGAGCTCGTATGTTAATAACTCGCGCTCGCGATATTCACGTCGCTCGCGGCGAACGAGCAGCGCCGACTCTTTTCCGCGACGCGCGCGCTGGATTGCAAGCCAGCGTCGAAGATTCGGTCGTCGCGCGCGCACCGGTGCGCAGACGTCGGCACTCGTACCGATTGCACGCTGCGACTCGCGCGTTTCTCGTTTCTTCCTAAGGCTTCCGAGGGAGCCTGCCAAATCATTCAATGTTCCTCGTAACAATCGATCTCAGTGGAAAAATCGGTTCATCAACTTTCTTTTTTTACAACTCCATTCCCTCAATAAAGTAAAACGCGACGCCAGGGCGATTCCTCGCATCACTGCGCTTTCGATGGTGAAACAAAAACAGAAAAAATGAACGGTAGTACCAGCGACGTCAAATAAATTTCATCCGAAAATCAATTCCCTCGGCGGCGCTATCTCCCATTACAAACTCTCTCTCGTCCCCCTCCCCCTCCCCCTCTCCGCCCCTCTCTCGGAGTATTACGCGTCGCGCGCGATCCGCGTATTATATTCCATCCGACTGCAAAAAAAACGCAAAACAACAAACTGGCTATCTTGCACGACGGTGTGTTGTTGCCGAACACTGAAATACGGCAGCAGCACAAATCTCTCGGCGATTTATAGAGTCGCCAGTCGCCATTCGTTCGGTTTTTTTTTTTCGCATGGATGTCACGCGTTTGGGCTTTGTGGACGTTTTGAATTTTTTCTTTCTCGTTCTGTTTGCCCATTCCACCCTCCGCCTCTCCCGATCAGATTTTTCCCCGTGTATCTCCGTCCCCACCCCGCCGCCGCACACGGCGATATGGAAAGGACAAATATCGTAAAAAAGTTCGTCGTTATTTCTGTATTCCAACGCCGTGAGCGCGCAAACTGCACGATATTCCCCGGCAGCGCGCAGCGACCATTGTGTTTTGCTCGCCAGTTTCTTTTTTTTTTCCTCGTCGACTACTCTGCTCGGGCTCGTTGTTGAAATAAAGTCCGAAAAATACTACCAACTCTCGGTCCTTTTTTCCTTTTTTTCCGCGCGTCACCCCTTCCGCTCCCACCCACACATAGTTGTTTTTACCGAGTACCGAGTTTGCTTCAATTAGTCGCGCCAGTACCAGCAGTTTCAGCTTTATTAGCGGCGCGTTTTCTTTCAACGGTGCGGAATAACCGTCTCCCGTTAAGCCATCAGTTGCGGCGATCGCGCGTCCGTCCACGCGCGCGCGCGCGCGTAATCGTCGCTTTTCGCGAGGACAGGGGCCATTTAAAGGAATCGCGCAGACGATTTCCATAGGTGAAATACCGCTGCTGAAATCTCCATGCCAGACCGGCCGAAAAGGCTCAAAGGGCAAAGGACCCAACAAGGAAGAGAGGGAAGAAAAAAAAAAAGGCCGAAGGCAACGGAGAGGCAAAAAGGACAAAAAGTAGGCGCGCTCGACTTTTTCGCCACTATTTACCGAACCCTCTTTTGTCTCTGCTTGTTTTTCTGCCGGGGCGCAGATCCGATTTGCGATTCGAGAGCGTCCGGTCAGAAAAATAGGGGAGAGAAAGACACGAGAAGACGAAGACTGCTAAATATTCAATAAATGCGCCCATTATTCTCATCACGTCGCGCCCCGACGACGACGACCAGAAGGGATGAGGGATTTGTCCGCCACGCTCTGAGGACGATTCTTTTTGTATGCGTGTGTTCCCCTCTTTGCTTGTTTTTTGTTTTTGTTTTTTTTTTTTTTTGTTTTTTTTTGTTTTTTTTTTGCCTTGCCTCGTCCGTCCACTCTACGTGTTTCTTGTTTCTCGAGTTGTTACCGGCTAGTTTGGCGATTATTCAAATTCTGTTGCCAGCTATTTCGGAATCTCACTCAATTCACGATAATGAATTACCATTTCTTTTTTCTACCTCTCTCGCTCACAAGAGGCTTCGAGGAACACGGTTGTTTCAACGATCCGCGAAATATTCTTCTTCCCCTGTATACTGCTTGTATTTGCTGTTCTTTGTCTGCTGAATGCCAAATCAATTTGTCTGCATACACAAACTACTTTCCGTTTGAACTGCTCCCGCGAAATTATACCGATGAAGATAGCCCGCGCCGCGCGGAAATTATGGTTTAGAAGCTGCCTTCACCGATAAATATTCCAATAGCAGGGAGAAGAAAAAATGATATGAAATTCAAACTGAAAAGCGAGGCTCATATTTTTCATGCGAAGCTATCCATATCTCACTCTCTCTCTCTCTATCTATCTATCTCTGGTGTGCGCTGGCGTGAGCATTATGTAACAGAAGCAAAGCAGCCAGCACGGCTGCGTATAAAAAAGTAAAGCGAGCGCGAGAAGAAAATAAGAGCAAAGAATCGCAGAAAAGCCGGCTGTTTATCCCCGTAGGATTACAAGTCGAAGCTGCGCGCATCCATATTCCGTAATTTGCTCGGAGCAGCAGCACCAGCAGCACCAGCAGCAGCCCCAGAGAATAAAGAACGGGAAGACTTCTTCTTTTATTTATCCGGCGCTTCATGGCAGCCGCCTCCTTGAATTATTCCGTTAAGTTCTCTCTTGCGCGCGAGCGAGCGCTTTCTTGAAGAATGGCGTGCTGCCGGGACGCCGCCGCCGTCGCCGCCGCCGCCGCTGCCGCACGGCTGGTTCGACGAGGCTGCCCGAGAGCAAACGAGAGAGAATCGCTTTCTTCTTCTCATTTTGTTGCTTTCCGCTGCTCGGGCAGTCGCCTCGTTTCCTGAATCGGCATGAATTTTAATTGGTCCGCTACGTCCTCTCAGCCCCGTTGATTATTCGTTTCGCGGGCAATCGTCGTCGAGTACATTTCTTTCCAAAGAGATGAGTCCTGATTTCGTGGGAAGCGACATACGTGGCGTACAAGTGATATTGAACAGCGCAATCGGAATCGGTCGCCGCGGTATTACGATAAATCCCTCGGGCCATGAAATTTATTCGTATCGGACCTCGCGCGCGACTCGTTTTCGCGCGCTTGCTCCCATATTTTCTCCGCGGCTGCTGCAGCAGCGATCGTCTCCCGTCTATATCCCCCCAAAAATTTTAACATACGACGCGTCCTCTCTCTCTCCCGCTCTCCATACGTTCCGAATACCGATCAGACTCTATCTCTGCTGACGCAGCCGCGGGAAAATTCAAATCGTGCGCGCTTTGCCGGAATAATAAATATGTATGACTACTCTTCTTGTTGGTTCGTCGCAGATAAAAATTTTTTCTTTCTTTTTTCTATTTTCTCCCTCTTTTTTCTGAAAATATATACATCTTTATACATAAATTCTTTTATCCGTGCAAAAAAGAAAAAAAAAGACGCCGTAATATCATTCGATGAAATAAAAGCGCTAGCTCATTCCTGAAAAAGAGAGAAAGGAAAAGTTTGCTAATCTGTAGGAGTTGGCAATAATATAATTGGTTTTTCCTCCGAAAACGCCTCTCGTTTACAATTCAAACGAGTCCTCTTGGCGAATTCCTGCAGTCGGGAATCCGTACGCATATTTCACAGTCTAACGATTCAATTGTTGTCGTGTCAGTGCGACGTCGATCGTCGTCGTAGCCGGCTGCGAATTAAAAGCTCGTCGCGCCATTTGCATGTTATTAGCTTGTTTACATATTTATTCGGAGAGAGTGAGAGAGAGAGAGAGGAAGTAGCGAACAACGGCTGAAATCATCCCCTAATCCGTGGTGGAACTTCCTCTCTTGCTGGCAAGCTTCGCTAGGGGCCTTTAATATTAGATTAGGCGCCCCGCTATGTACACACAACGCCAGACGAAAGTTATACTCCCGTAGTCGCGACGACGAGGGTTTCGTTGGACGAACGTCGAGCTTCGTCTCTATACGCGCCACTTTGCCATCTCACTCTCTTCGTCTTCTATAGGCGCGTTTATACACTCAAGATTGGGGCTTCGACTACCAAAGATTTTTCTCCAAAGCGATTGTTTTTTTCCTTATTTGCACATTGTTGAATTATGCACGAGTGTCGACTGTTTTTATTGTTATTGACGAGCTTTTTTCAGACAATTTCGAAACGCGCAGCAGTCATTTTCGAATCGACAGATCGAAAATCAATGTTGCTATGAAAATATGTAATGTCAGAGTGGACTTACCTGTTTATGCATTTCAACGTTGAGGCCATATGACATTTCGTAATACTGTAAAATAACGTGGAAAACATATTTAGATATTTCATTAATAACGTTAATATATGTGTTTGTTTTGGCATATGGTGACATACTTTTAATGTTTTTTCATGCAGATATAAATTCATGCAGTGGGAGGGTTAAGAAACACTGTTTTGCCAATCAAAAGGATAAAGTTGCGCTTTCATCGAATTAAGCTTTCGCAAACGCTGCCGCAGCCCTAGTTATTTGCGGAATAAGCGCTCTCCCACCCTTTCTTCCCTTCACCAGCAAATAACCGTAATAGAAAAGACACTTAAAACACGTCGGGACAGACAAGCGAGTGCACGAACAAGAGAGACGGAAGAACGCAACAAGAAAATTGACCCATCGCAGTGTGTAGTACGCGAAATCTCTCGTCGACGGAAATGACCAACAAAGCAACTTAAGGAAGCACGAGTCTCTCTCTGTCTCTCTCTCTCTTTCTTGTTTGTTTTTCACAAAGCTGCCGTTTCAGAATACCCGTTCGATCAGCCTTCTTCTTCGCACACCGGAGCGTCGACAACATTGAGAACCCCACCCGAAAGAAAAGAGAACCTCAACGGCAAAAATAACGCCGCGAGTTGTTGCTGTTGTTGGCGTATTTCTTTTTTTTCTGTCGTTCATTTTCATTACGAGGCGCGTTTTACTGGCAGTAAACGTTGCCCGCGCGCGAGTAAGCTTTATGGCTCGCAGGCATTATGGGCCACAGTTTAAATCCGCACTGAATTCACTACGCCTCCAAAGCTTGCAACGCGTTTTCTTTGCCTTCGTGAGAGCTTCCATCTGTTTCTTCTGCGCATATGTATACACACACACACACACACACACACGCACACGCACACGCGCACACGCACGCACACACACACACGCACACACACACACACACACACACACACACACACACACACACACACACACACACACACACACACACACACACACACACACACACACACACACACACACACACATAATAGTATAACTGCGTCAGTCCTCTCTCGTCAAATCGTATTTTTATTTTTTTTCGCGCTTTATGAAACGATCACTTTGGAATTCGATGCTTACGGCTTTCTACATTTTTATTTTCTCGTTGTAATTTTACCGAACGCCTTTGATGACATTTCCAAACGTGTCACAGGCGGACAAATATCGCGCTCCAATAATACTTTTTCGTTTGGTTTTGGGTATCACAGTTTAACTACCCCTGGCTTATTTGGCATTTGTACAACTAGCGTGAATAATCCTCAAATTTCCGAATGGGAAATTAAGTCTCAAAAGCGTAAACGAAGTAGTAAAACAACCAAATTAGGCATTTTTCCCGTTTACTTTTCACTTGTTTTTCTCTCTTTCTCTCTCTCCTTCGCCGGCAGCTGCATAAACAAGTCGAGAAAATCGAGCTTGCGAAAGGGAAAACTTGAAAACAAACGAGCGCACGCCAAGTCGACGGACTTGTAAAAGAGCAAGCCGGAAACAAACACAGCACGGCGCAGGAAGTAGCGGCGGCGGCGGCGGCGGCGGCGGCGGCGGCGGCGGCGGCGGCGGCGGCGGCGGCGGCACGAAAATCCCTTCCTCCTTGCTCGTCCGCGTTAATTGACTCTTAATTAATGGACTTGGTTCGTGGCTCGAAAAACAGCGAGGAGGAGGCTGCAGCCCGAGGCACCCTCGCTATCCGAACGCGCGCCGCGCGAATTCCTGCGTCGGCTGTAACGAATTTAAACGCGTATACAGCCTCGTTAGCTTAGCTGCGGCGTTTGCCTGCAAGCGAAGTCGAGCTGAGTAATCTTCAAACTACTCAAGCTCAAAAGAGAAAACAGAAAAAAAAAAGGAATAAAAAATCGTGTTTAACTTCCTCTCCGATAAGTGTTGAAGGATCATTATCCGCACATGGAAATTTCTTCATTGTCGGATCGGTGATTAATGCGCATATATTCTCACGCGTGAATATTGTTTGTTTATAGGATGCAAATTTGCGAACGCAAAGGTGTTTCCTTAATCACCGATGACAGCTCGGAATTTCGCATGACTCTTCGCATTCGATTGTCGGCACGCGTAATTGATCGTGCGTAATTGTCGAACAGGCGACGCGAAAGTTATCGAACGCGATATCGGCAGTCCGTCGATCGAAAGGAAAAGTGCCGACTTACGCAACGACAAGAAAGGAAAAGATGGGTTTCGCGCGAGCGATGCTCTCTCTCTCTCACTCCTCTTGCGGGGCAATAAATACAGAGAGCAGCGATCGAGACTGGCGATCTGGTTTTTTGTTTTGAGCGATCGATATCCCCGATAAAGCGCGCCGAGTCTGGGCGCGCGAGTAATCAGAGTCTCTCTCGTCGAGAGACTAATGGATCGCCGGCGTCAAGAGATGCTTATCTCGTTTAATGTCGACTCCGTGCGCGCGAGTGGGAGGCGCTCTCCTCGCGAGTGTTAAATCATTTATTCCCCGCTTCTCCGCGCGCGACGCTTGGGAATGAGGAACTGGACTGCAGTCCATTGTTTCGGCCGCGCGATAAGCTTCCCCTCGAGAGAGAGAAAAGGCAACAATCGAAAAATCGTGCTGCGCCACTGTGCAGGCTAATCACGAAGCCAGGCAACGAGTCCCACGCCTGATCGTTTAATTGGCAGGTGCGCCTACCACTCTCTCTCCCTCTCTGTCTCGAAGACAGGAGCAGCCTCCCACGTGCGCGCGCGCGCAAGCGACCGAGACTTGTTGCGGCTCGGAGAGCTGCTGCTTGTTTGCGCCAGCGGTGCACCTCTCTATCCGGCCGACTTGCAAATTTCGCGCCGGATTTCATTTTAGCCCGATAACACGCGACGGAGATGCAGCCAGCGAGGCGATCAACGACCGCGCTGCCTCAGGTGGAAACAACGACTCGTCGCAACTGTTTGCGATGTGGTCTTTCCTTTGCTCGGAAGCGCGCGCTCTCGTGTCTTTATGCGGGCAGAAGGAGGTCTTTTGAAAAACAGATCAGTTCGCAGGCACAGCGAGAGAAAATCCCCTTTACTGCGAGTTTAATGCCGCGAGCGACCGACCGAAGAAGTAGTGGTAGAGTAAGATTCCTTGCGAGAAGCTGTACAGGATTTTCGCGGACGCGCGCGCTCGTAAAACTCGACGAGCTCTCTCTCTCTCTCTCTCTATCTCTCTCTGACAATTACATGAGAGAGGGAGAGAGAGAGAGAGCAGTAAAAGCTGTAATGTTCCCCTTGCGGACTCCTTGCCAATAAAAGCCTCTACCCTCGAAACCAAGTGGAATATCTTTTCGGGCGTACGCGTGTGTGCAGAGGGTGTTAATTTCCAAGCTAAAGCGTTTTATCGGCCTCTTAGTCGCATATTATTTCTCGCATGATTGTATCAAGGATAATAGGTGGCGCGACGAAGCCTCGGCAAGCGAAAATTTACTCAAGAAAAAGTTATCGTCCGCGCACAAACGTCGTACAGCAGTCTTCAATCAACAGAGATAATAAACTACGCAGCGATAAGTTCTTTAACGAGAAAAAATTCCAGTCTCTCGATCGCGCTCGCACAACTCTCGCGTTTTCGTTCGCGCGATACCTAATAACTTACATCCTCCGCAAACATCAAACAATCGGGCAATTAAGCCCTCTTTCCTTCTCTCCCTCCCCGACTCCGTCGATGCCAAGACAAACGACGTGGCTCCGCATGGCCCACGCGCGAGCAACCGATTATCCGTGAAAATTAATAAAGCCTCCGCCTGTCGAGCGAGCGAGCGACAGAGTTCCAGATGCGCGAACCGAGGCGACGTTACGCCTTAATGAAAAGCTCGCGGCGCACGCGTTTTATGCAAATTGCAGCTCGCGCAGTTTCGTTTCTCACGCGCGCTCGCGCCAGACTCGTGTTTCGGACTTGCCTAACAAATGATGTGCCGCCGCGAGCGAGGCATCGTACAAGCTGTCGGCTCGCTGCTGCCGGGGAGTTTAGCCGGTACATTTGTTCCGCGCGGGAAAGTTGCGCAATTCCGCGGAGGGTCGGAAGGGGCGGGGAGGGGGAAAAAAAAGCAACAGCGACACGACACGAGGCGCTTCCTACGGTCAACGTCGGCTTTCCCCGCGCGGCGATTAATTGCGCTCGGGACGACTCGCGCGCCTGCTGAACAATTGGCGCTACGCGATCAGATAAAAGGCGCGAGAAGAGCTGTCGAGGCGTTTTTATCGGCGCATCGTTGAATTACGCGCGTTCGCGCGTCTTGGTTGCTCAGCGGTTTTAGCAAGCATTTATCCACACAGCGGTTAATTAGCCATTTTCGCTCCGCACGGCGTTTGTTCTTTCCTTTTTTTTTCTTTTATCTGACAGCGCAGACTATAATTGGACGAGCACTTTGAAATTCAACCGTAAAACTTTATATATATATCGACGAGCAAACTAACGATCCGAGTAATTTATGTGGTGTACGTTGGAAAAATGGCTTCTTGGAAGCTCGATAATGATCGGTCAGGTTATAAAACCTCGGTAAAAGTGACGATTCATCCGAAGGTGAAAAAGAGAGAAAGAGAATATTTGCTTCTCTTTGTATGTCCCCTCGCGTGCAATTATTCGATGCTAATAACGCATTGTGCTTCGTATACAGTACGAACCGCACGACTTTATTTGAGATATGACTCGGCAAGACAGTTCTCTCTTTCACGCGGGCAACGATGAGTTAATGACAGCAAGCAAAACTCAATGTTAATTGTCAATTGTATAGATGGAAAAAGTGCGATTGTTCGTACTCACCATGACGTAGTGGCGCTGCATTTCGGACTTCTCCTGGGCAAGTTTTTCCAGCTCCAACTTAATACTGTACAGAAACAAGCGGGAAAGGGAAATGAAGGTAAAGTCTCAGCTATGAAAAGTTCTCTCGAGTTTGCTAAAGAGGGGCTTGGGTCAATTATTGAACAGGCTGTCTGTAAATCGCCGTGGGACCTTCGACGTGTGCGCTTGACAGTCTGTCGGCGGAAGGCTCCGTGACGCGGACTCTGTCACGCAGCTCAACTCATTCTTTCGCTTATTCTCTCTTCCTACGAGAGAAGGCTAATTGACGACGAGGGAACGACTTTGGCTAGCTGCTCTCTTTTTCCAAGTGCGGCATTAGGGGGCTGTGAAAGTACGCGCGGATCGTGTCGAACGAGTTCGCTTCGCGACTGATTCTATATGTATCCCGGTATTTATACGAGAGCTACTACGCGTTGCTTTCATTTCCGAGCAGACATCGACATTTCAAAATATTACACTATTAGACATTCTTTGAGGAACATCCCGGTGAAAAGTATATACTTTTCATTTTCACATTATAATTTGTCGCTCAAACATCGAGAGGCAAAAGTAAATTAATCATGAAAATGTTGACATTAGTACAATGATCGAACAATGGAATGAGTCAGGCATATCATGACAGAGTCTGCGGATTGCGAGGACGTGGTGCAAAAAATTACAATCAAGCTATCAAAATTAAAGCACACAATTAGTGCATAGCCGTAGCAAAACATTGATTATTAATACGATCATGAGATACACTAAAGTGATAGCAATGAGATTTATGGTTCGGACCAATGGAAGCCCTCGGTGCGTTTTGCTCGAAAAACATAAACAATATTATTCGTATATAATGGATGGTCGTGAAAAAATGATTTCGTACTGAGCAGAGACTTATATATTGAAAAAATATTTTCTACGTATGATTTTAAAAAACAAAAATCTACATAATCTATATACACATTCAATTTAAATACTTTGATGGTATATATACTTGATCAAGGAATACAAACATTGATAAAAGAACGAGCTATCTATATTCGTCAAGCACAAAATCTGTAGTACATCAAGAACGAAAAAAATGTTCATTCCAAAAAGTCCTTTGGTTCTTTCCAAAAGTGCGAGAGAAATTTGTTGATAAAAAAATTACATGTGTATACAGTGAGTTGCAAAGTTAGTGTATCTGATTTCATAATTTGAACGCTTCGAGCGGCTTACCATTTGGTAAATATTCCGAATCTCTAATCGTTCACTGACTAGTTTCTCGCACTCCAATTTATAGCTGCACGAAACAAAATAATAAGAAACACGTGTATTATAATTTGTTTTTTTTTTACACCAGTCCTCTTCATTCCCCACGAAGCCTTCGCCTCGTAACAATATTAATTTACTCTCACATACTAATATTTCAATTTCCCATCATAAATGATGAGAGGAAGAAACCAAAAAAATAACAGACATTTCTTTCTACACTCGAAGGTTTCTCACAGTAAATTACTCATCCTGCAAACTGCAGGGGAAAAAGTTGGCGAAACACGTGCTTAAAACTGCACTTGAATTCCTAACCATCTTTCTCTCTCTCTCTCTCTCTTTCTTTCTGTCAGTATCATCGGGAGCAAGAGAATACAAATGCTCAACGACGAAAAAGCATTGGGAGCCCTCCTCCCGTCATTGTATGTACATGATCCTCTCCGCGTCGCATGTAAATAAGTTATATATACTTCGGCGCGCGATTCATTAAAACTTGACGTTGGGCGTCTCTCTACATATTACATACACGTGTCGTACGTTTTTCGAAAGCCATATCCCTTGAGAGGCCAACGACACCGAGACGTAATTTAAGTTCTCGCTCCGTGCTCTTTTAAAACATTTATACTCACGCGCATTAACACCTCCCGAACGCTCTGTATAATGACCCACTGCTTCTTTCTTCTTGCCGCATGGCAACTTTAAATTCAACGCGAGAGTCTCTTTGCTAGAACTCGCTTTTGCCTTTTCATTGTTGCGAAATACGCGTACCATTCTTTCCATTTCCAAAGTCAAGTTCACACCGAATATGCATCACACGCGCTTCCGTCGAAGTTGTTTTTCCTATGAAGTGCTTAATATCGAGCTCGCTAATTAATGATCCCATTCATTCGATATCGCGTGTCGCGCAAATTATTTCCAAGTGCGCTTTTGCTTCGCGTTTATTAACCATCGATGCATGCCTCTCCCTTCGAAATAATATTACCGCGTGTCGCGCGACGATGCAAATTAACGCCTGCAGGTTAAAACTCGATGTAAATCATCTATACGAGTGAGAACTTGAGTTTAATAAGCCACCTGCCGATTACCATATTTTTAATAATAAACGAGCCCTGGCAAATTAAAGCACGCACGCTCGTTTCATCGATCGGTAACGACCACAAAAAAAGTCGAGCTTCACCGCAAACATCGCTAAATAGAGTGGAATGAAAAAAACATTTCCAGCGGCAGAAATCGCCATACATTTAATTAAACAGTTTCGCGAAAGAGCCAATTCCAATCGCAACTCGTGAAAAAAATACACGCCCGCTCGCGAGAGAGACGACTTTTCAATCAACCGAGGATATATATTTCCGAGCGAAAATAAAAAAAAAACAGTACAGAAGTCAGTCCAGCGGATAACTATCGTTTGGCGCCACCCCACCAAAAAAAAAAGGCTACAGCCGAAATTACTCGATTGCAAGCTCTGCGAAAGAGAGAGATGGATTTCGCGGTAACATGTACAACAACTTGTTAACTGCCTGCCATGGCAATCCCTCGTCGATCGATACCATCGACCCTTTTTTTTTCATTCGCCCGCGTTCGCGGTTACAAAGCACGGAAAAATACGCCGTGCTTTCTTTCTTTTTTTTTCTTTTTACACAGCATGTAATTCCAGCGAATGAAAATTATCTGTTCGATAAACGAGCGTAAACTCGTGCCGCATACGCGCGTGATTAAAATCAAACACAAAGAGCTAATAATGACACAAAACGGAATTACCATTGCGCGCTCTTTCAGTGTTCTCTGTAGCGGGAGGCGTGTTTTCATCGACGAGAAAACGTATGTAATCTGTGCGTTCGCGATGAAGTGCATACACACGCGCGTAGCTTCCGCTCTTGAGCAAATAATAAATTAATATTTGCTCGGCTGACGGCAGCAGCCGGTTTGGCTTGTTCGCCCATGTTTGCTCTAACAAGAGGGGAGGGGGGCAGGTGTTTGTCACTGCTCGGTGAGAAACAGAGAAAAAAGAGAGAAAGAAAGAGATCTTATCTCTCTTTGTGGACGAGGGATTTGCGTTTTCAAGGGCTGAATGACTTAATTAATGACTGCAGGACGCAGAGAGTGAGAATTTTTTTTGGAGAGAGAGACAGAAAGAAAGAGAGAGAGGAGAGAATCTCTCCACACGACGTGGACACGTGTTTCGTAAAACAAAGTACGACTCGTGATATTGCCATCGAGAAAAAGTTATTTCCAAGCGAACTCTATTAACTGTTTTTCGTGAAAAACATGGTTCGCAAACGTGCGGCGATATCTCGAGTTCGGCAGCGAAAAACAAGGAAAAGGAGAATAGGAAACGAGAGCTCACCTGTGGTACTGTGCCTGGAGAAAATTGAATTCCTCTTTGATTCGATCGCAGGACTCGAGCACTGTGAATTTGAACTGCTGCCCGGGCTGCGGTGGACCCTGTAACACAAACAAAGCGCAATCATTAAACAACCGTCTAAAGGCTCAAAATCAACACCTAGCTGCTATCGCACCCTCACACAAGCACAAGCACAAGCACAAGCACACGCACACGCACACGCACGCGCGCGCGCACGCGCGCGCGCGCACACACACACACACACACACACATCAGTGCATCGAACTTTAGTTTCCTGTTCTATGCAACTAGCGATTCTCTCGCCTTTGTAGGCAAAAAGTTCTCAAAGGGTTTTTCACGTCGAAATTTTGCTGTCCTTTGAATATTCAATGATTAATTAATTATTATAACGCGCGCGTACCTTAATAGAGTTACCGCTATTAAATCCTTTTCTCCTCTGTCCAGGTGAAAATTAAATTCTTCTAAATCAGCCATCACGAGTTCGAGTGCGCGCATGTCATGAATATTCATCGAGCAAAAACAAATCATGGATCTACCCGCGTTTAAACGGACGATACGCGAAATCAGCATAAACCTTTTTTTTTAAAAAAAAGAAGTATATTATCAGAAGCTCAGATATAATTTTATCGATTCACAAATCATTGAAGCGTGAAAAGGAGTATCCATATGAAACAGTATATATACAGAAAGAGAGGGAGAGATAGAGAGAGAGAGAGAGAGAGAGAGAGAGAGAGAGAGAGAGAGAGAGAGAGAGAGAGAACTGGAATGCGCACTAGCTTTTCGCGTGTAATTTGGTGACGACCGTTACACTAATACCGTGGCATTAGCTCTAATTGTTACATGTTGACTGTATACGGTCGTGCGATGTTATTGATTGGCCTGCGCCAGTATTCCATTGTTTCCCCTCTCTCTGTACCTTTTCTCGAGCGTAACAACACAATGCAATTTTCTCCTCGGGCTTAACGGATCGAAATCGCTTCTATTGATTTGCAATGATCATGCTTGGATGGATAATTATCCGGCCAAGCTATTTTTTCCGATCAGAAATCAACACAGCGCCATCGCCATTTGGCGTCCGTGCTCGGTCGCGTGACGAGTGTAAAACCAACGGACAGATGCGCGCCTCGTAAAAACGTCCGAGGTCGGTAATATCGTATTATCGAGCGCGCTCGCCAAAGAAAACAGCAATCTCACGTGAGAGAGAGAGAGAGAGAGAGAGAGAGAGAGAGAGAGGGAACCGGATGTATACTTGAGAAATGCCTAACTGAAAAAAAGAGAAGCGGCGTGGATTGATGCCGAAACGATTTTACTCGACAGCTCTCTGCCGCTGCTTTATTCATCTGTGCTTGCGGGCTGGTTACAACTTCATAAATAAAAGGTTGGTCCTAACACACCGACGCTCTTTTTTTTTCGTTTTTCGGTCATGTGTAAAAAAATGCGCGCACGCTAACTTCTATATCCGTGTGACCCTGTCGCGCAAAGCCGGTTGAGCGTGAGCTTGCTGCTGATCGTTGCAGAATCGCTGATCCCATTTGTCCACGCTCTCGCGCTGCTGCTACTGCTGGCTCTGGCCAATCCAATTTATTTATTGGCTTTCGCTCCCTCGTGATTTTCTACGATCCCTCGCCGACTTTTTCCAGTCTGCGCGCGCGTGTGCGTGTGCGTACGGGCGTGCGTGTGTTCGTGTGTGTGGATTCGATTACACGCTCGACTGAGTCATTGTTTTTCTTTTTTTTTTTCGGCATGAATTGCGAGTAAACACTTTTTCGCAATAATTTTTTCTTTGCGAAACAAAATATTTGATGGACGAAAATGAATGTGGGTGGTGAATTGTTTCGAGTTAATTGCTCGCTGGATATTATACAATACGCGCGTCGAAATAAAAATGAAAGCGGAGGGATGCGTGTCCAACCAGCGACAGGTGAACGAGAGCAAACAAAAGCCCTCCACGCGCAGGCGACTAACGAATGACGTTTAATGAGAGAAACGTCGCGCTTCCCTTCAATCAGCGTCAATTTTCCAACTCCTCTCCGATAATTCGATAAAACGAACGCCCGTTTTATGTACGCTGCACACACTCCTTTTTTTATTTTGTTCAATCTACCACGCGGGAGAGAGGCTCTGTCCGCCGTTGTGTGTGCTTTTTTTTTCGTTTTTCGGACAACGACGACAGCCGAAAAACGAACGCTTCTTTTTTGCCGTCGCATTGCGAGCGTTGTCGAAAAATTCAAATTGATTTATTTGCCGTGTACAGGTGATATCTTGATCAAGAGAGAAAGAGAGATTTTTGCCGAGGCACACGCGGGGCATTATCGCGAAACTGATGGTGGATGTACAGTAAAATAAAGGACTAATTAATCAAGCGCTCTGGCTGTTTCTCTATAGACAAACGAATAAACGTAACGATCGAAGAAGCGACGCAGCGCCAAATCTTACGTGCAACATTGCACATCACTCATCATCGATATTAAAAAAAGGCTTCCTCGTTTCACAACTTTTTTTCTATCCAAATCAATGTTTCCGTTTGATTTTACAGTTATTTTCTCATTGCCCGCTCGCGCACAACGATAGTCGTGGCAATCGATGACTCTCCAACTCCGCTTTTGCGGATGCACTTTTTTATATATATATGAAAAAGCTTCGGCGTTGGCGCGACACTGGCTACTAATGCAGAGCGGCTGCTGTCGGAAATGTCGTTATTGGAAACCACCTATCAAACTTTAACGCTTGGGAAAAAAAAGCTTTTCATTTCACAAGCATTCGATGTCGAAAATAGCTTTTCTGCGCTCCGTTGTTTCCCAAAAGTAACGATCCAGTTTGCTTTCAATTGAAAATAAAAGTGCACGTAAAAAACTAGTCAAAGGCTTGATTTGGCCGAACTAAATTCACCAGGCTGCTAGAGTGGCCACTCGATATATCCTCTCTGTCTCGTTCTCTCTCTCTCGCGAGTACAAATAGGTAGGAGAGAGCGCTACCACCTAGTCGGCTCCTGCTTCTGCTAGCCGACTGGAGGTAGTTTCCGCCGGACCGCAACGCCCGCAGAATCGCGGTGCCGGGATACCCAACCGCGGAATGGCCATGGATGACCAGAGACCTGGTCGCCTCGCCACCGAGAGAGAGAAACACGGATAACTGACCTCAAGGATACTTCTCTCTCTCTCTCTCTCTCTCTCTCTTGCTCTGTCTGCTCCGGTCTACTCGATACTCTGGCTGCCTTTTTCTTCTTCTTTCGATGCCGATCAGAAGGTTTCTGGTCGTTCAAGACTCGCAATTCTGCCTGGATTTAACCCAGGCTTTCTTATTTTGAATCGCTTTATGAGATTTTCTCGTTAGCAATGTTTATTTTCAGTTATCGCGCTCTCTTCGCAGATCGTCATCAATAATACAACGACATCTTGGCATTGCATTTCCGTCACCTGCCCTCCAGCGACTAATTTTACGTTTCTTCCAATTTCGAATTCAATTTCCTCGAGATTTATATGCCGCGGCACACTTCTCAATATAATCAATTTATCAAACAATTTGGTAACGAAGTACATCCTCGCGCAATCCAATCAGCGGTGCAAAAATAAAATCTATTGCAGAACGTCGGCACCGCGGCCAAAATGCAAAATCTCATTCTCGTCGTTGGCTGACGATACGTACAAATCAGATTTTAGCCCGTTCGCCAAATATACACCCAACGCGCGAGAGGGCAATAGCGCCAAATGAAATTTCAATCGTGAACGATCGATGAAGCGATCCCCTCGCCCCGGCCGACGAATTAACGCGACCGAAAGAAGAAACGGCGGGATGATGAGAATAATAAAAAGAAAAACCGAGATGTGGGATCGTGCGGGCAGAAGCACAGCCATACATGTACACGCGTAACGAGCGAGCCATTATCCTTGATTATCCTTCTCTGCCCGTGCCTGTGTGCATGCTCGCCCTTCTGTTCTCTCTCTCTCTCTCCTCCCTCTCTCACCGCTACCCGACCGGCTATTTGCATAAGCAATGCATTTTGATTCGTGCTCTCTCCCTCTCGTGAGAGAGCGCTATGACATAAATAATGCATGACATAACAATCGGATCGCTCTCTCTCTCTCTCTTTCTCTCTCTATCGAAATTATTTTTTATCATTTTTGCATGAAAGCGAAAATATTACAATGTCAATTAACCTCGCTGTGGAGCAGAAAAAAGGCCGACGTGTGTGTATACCTGCGAGAGAGAAAAATGGTTGGCTGAGAGAGAGCAGAAAACACAATAGAGAAGATCGAGGTGAGATATTGGCGGTTTATACGTGTACACAGAAGTGGTGGCGCGGCGTGGCAAGCAAGGGGGAGAGATAAAGCGACATAACAGGGTTTTATGACTGTAACAGATTAGGTGGCGTTTTCAACCCATCTTTTTTCTATTTTTTTTTTTTCGAGCAGCTCGCTCTCCACCCTTATTATCGCTATGTAGATAGGATGGCTTTTGTAGCTTCCTGCCATCGTCATACAGAAGAGCCGACAGTTGGCCGATATTTGTACAGCCGACTGCGCTCTCTCGTGCAATTTCAGCTGGAAAAACTATGGAATCTTCCTTTAATGAGATATCGATGGGTCGACGGGCAGCAAATTTGTACTCGTAGAAAAAATTCCACGCGCATCTATCTCTATTAAGAATCGAGACGAGTATTTTTACGCGGAGATGGGAATGTGTATTGTAAACCCAATGTCCCACCCTTTTACTCGGGCAGTGCGTGCGTGTCATATCTCGAAAAAAAAAGTCGTCACGCCATATCGCGCGCAGAGCCCTTCTGAGTTTCCGCGTGAAAAGATCCTCCCGACCGAGAGAAGTTTGTTGGCAACTAGCTGTGAAGCAGAGATATATATATATATGGTAGGGGGTTGAATATGTTACAATTATCGCTAAACCGAATGGCCTCGGTTATAATACGAAGGGTCCCCGCGACACTTACGACAATGCCCGCCTGTCTGCGCCGACGACGCCCCTTTCCAGTGGCAGCGCATACAAATCCCCCGAGATGAAAGCACCTCTTTATGATGTCCCGCAGCGCCACCGCCAGAGGCAACGTACACACAAATGCGCGCGCGAA